ACTTCACCAGAAGAGTAAAAAGGGAACCCATAGGATGGGAAAAAAATCTTTTGCAACAACACATCAGATAAGGTACTAATTTCTAAAATATATTGGAAACTACAACACTTCTACAAGAAAAAGACAAATAACCCAATTAAAAAATGGGCACAGGACATGAACAGACATTTCACCAAGGAGGAGATCTGGGCAGCCAATAAACATATGAAGAAATGTTCACGATCACTAGCCATCAGAGAGCTGCAAATCAAAACAACAGTGAGATATCATCTCATACCAGCAATAACAGCAAAGATAAAAAATGTAGAGGACAATAAGTGCTGGTGAGGATGTGGAGAGACTGGGACCCTCCTACAGTGTTGGTGGGATTGCAAAATGGTCCGACCAATATGGTGCTTACTCAGAAGGTTGGAATTAGAAATACTTATGATCCAGCAATTCCTCTACTTGGTATTTACCCACAAGAAATACGAGCCATAACATAATTAGATATATGCACACCAATGTTCATAGCATCACTATTTACAATAGCAAAAAGACGGAGACAGCCTAAATGCCCATCAGTTGAAGAATGGATAAGCAAACTGTGGTACATACACACAATGGAATAATGTGCTACCTTGATGAACAACAACAAGGAAGCCGCAAGCCACTGCATAACATGAATGAACCATTAGGACATTATACTGCGTGAAAGTAGTCACAAAATGAGAAATAATGCATAGGAGCATTATTGTAAAAGACTAAGAAAAAGAACCCACCCTAAAAGGGGAAGAAAAAAAAAAATTGATGATCACCAGGATGTATGGGATGAGAGGAGGGGAGAGATGGAGGGAGTGGAAGAGAGAGCACAGGGTCGGGAATAGACACAGGATAACTTGGGTGCTGGGGAGGGGTGGGGAATGGAAGAAAAGGCAAGTGGGAGAACAGTTAGGCAGGTTCCCATGGGCTAAGTGGGACAGAGGTAAATGATGATGTATACATAACCTTGGTACAACAGGGCTCCGAGAGATACAGGGATTGAGGCATGGTTTGAAGGAGTAAAAGAGGGGAATAGTGTCAAGATGCTTGGCTGTCTTTTGAATCTTGGTTTCCCTTGCCTACTGTTGTAAAATAGACACTTGAGGTGGGGAGAAAGGAATAGCCAGAATCATCACTACAGAAAACTTGTAAGTCCGTCTTCAGCCTATACCTGATTGGAAAACATTGAGAGGGGCTAGAAGTGGAAGAAGCTTCCTGTGGAGCCTCTACATTGCACAAGACCATAGGTGGAATCCAGAACCCCATCCAGAACTGACTGGGGTAGGAAATTTCCACTGGAAAGTACGAGTAGACCAGCCTGGAGCAGCTAGAAAAACAGAAGATACTTTGTGAAGAAAGACCTTCAGGAAAAATCTGAAACAATAATGGCAGTTGGATTGATTACTACAAGAGCAAGTAAGCTGTTCGTCCGGGAGTCACCAAGGCAAGTGGTCAGGTCCCCTCAGAGCAAACTCCCTTCCAAGATTGACTCAAGGGGAATACACGAGCAGGCATGTGGTCTGGATGGTGACCATGTTGGTCACCGATAAGGGGAAGAGGGGGAAAAAAAGCAATGAAGTTGGGATCTAAGTCCGACCACATTCAATAGACTCCTATGAACTATGACCACATTCAGTAGAATGCTATGAACCTGGGTGGAGACCTGGATGGCCAGCAGTATGTCAAGGTCCGGGGACTCCTGAGCCCAGAGGCAGTGACATGGCCACAGAGGACTAGAGTGGAGAGTAAAGTGTCCAGCTGATATGAAGTGAGGGGAGATGAACAAGAACGCCCATACTTGCAGATAGTACCCACTTGACGTGGCTTCAATGGCTGGATGATCAGAACTCAACTTGATAAAGAAAGAAGGGTGGGGGGAGGGGAAGTAATCCACTACAATTTGATGAATTTTACCTATACTTACGGATGTAGTAACTCATAAAAGGGAACAAATCTTTACAGCAAGGATCACTCCCACCCCCTTGGTACACAGGGTTGACAGGAATGGGCAACTGAGACATTGGCTACCCAAAATGGGGGGAGGGAGCTATAAAGGCAAGAAGTGACTGGCTTACAAGCTTTCAAGAGGGAGCCTAGTTCCAGACGGGACAGGGGTAGGTAGGACCTCCACTGAATGATTTCCAATCTGTTGGGACCAGGCTGGCGAAAGGAAATGGGGATAAGACTCTTGTGGTACAATAGTGAATAATTGCCATCAGGACTGACTGTGAGGCTAGGAAATGTACAGGAAGATGTTTTTTAACAAAAGGAGGGGAGTGATTGATTTTGCAGCCCAGGAGTGGAGGTCCCTGGGACCATCAAATAAGAAGAGCGGAGAGCGTGACCCTACCCAGAAAGGCAGTGATGCCAGGCATGGAGACAGAGACTGTGATGTGGACAGATGGAGCAGCTGGGGACACTGGACTCAGGGAGGGAGAGGGGCCGTGTGCTGATGGCTGGGGGAGCCTTTAGTTATCTGATGTGGGGTGTACCCTTTAGTTATTTGATAATGCATGGAGGGGATTGTAATCATTGCAATGAAACAAAATACAGTAGGATAAATGTAAAACTCATGTTCTCCCATGTAATACCACATAATTCACACAAAAAAACTTTAAAAAAAAAAATCCTTATAGGAGTAGAAAGCCTCATCTTTCTCCCACGGAACAGCTGGGAGTTTCGAACTGCTGACCTTGAGATTAGCAACCCGACATGTAACCACTACGCTATCAGTGGTTGTGGTGGTTATGTGCCGTGGAGTCGGTTCTGACTCATAGCGACCCTGTACAGGGTTTCCGAGGCTGTAAATCTTTATGGCAGAAGAAAGCCTCATCGTTCTCCTGCAGAACAGCTGGTAGTTTCGAACTGCTGATACTGCGATTTGCAGCCTGATTCATAACCACTACGCTACCAGAGCTCCTTCTACGCTATCAATAGTTATACTCAATGTAAATGGATTAAATGTGGCAATCAAGAGACAGATAATAGGGCAGTGGATAAGAAAACAGGACCCATTAATATACTGTCTACAAGAGACACACCTCAGACACAAAGACAAAAGTAAGCTAACAGCCAAAGGATGGAGAAGCAATTGCCAAGTGAATGTCAAAGAAGAGCACGAGAGGCAGTATTGACTTGTGACAAAATCAACTTTAAGGCAGAAAACATCAAAAGAGACAAGGAAAGATATTACATATTAATGAAAAGATCTTTTCAAGAGGATAGAGTCCTGGCATGGTGCTGGAGGATAATGCACTGGATTGCAAGGTCAGTTTGAACCACAAGACAGCTCCTCAGAAACCCTATGCAGGGTTGTTATGGGTCAGAACCAACTCAATGGCACTTAACAACAACAGCAATCCAAGAGGATACAGCCATAGTATCTATACACTGACTGAAAGACCCTAAAATACACGTATCTTCTTATCAGTCAGCTCTGACTGATACTGATCCTATGTAGGGTTTCCAATGGGGTGGATTTGAACCACTGACCTTGTGGTTAACTGTCCAGTGCTTTTTCTGTAGTGACACACCAGCACCCCAATAATAGTTGCTGTTAAGTACCTTTGAGTTGGTACCAACTCAGTGACTTTGTGTAGAGTTACTCAGGAGTAGCTGGTGAGCTTGAACTGCTGACCTTGCAGTTCAAAGCAACCTTGCAGTCCAGTACATTAACCCAAAGCGCCACACCAGGAGTTCAATAACAGTAGGGGACTTTAATATACCACTTTTGATATACTTAACAATAACACTTGTCTGTCAGAAGAATGTGGCATCAAGATTAAAGGAAGACTCATTAACAACCTGTGATATGCAAAACGATGTATTGCATTAGGCAAATCTACTGCACAAGACCTCTTTAAAGTGTTGAAGAGCCAAGATGTCAGCTTGAGGACTAAGGTGCACCTGACCTAAGCCATGCATAAGAAAGTTGGACAGTGAATAAGGAAGACTGTGGAAGAATTGATGAATTTGAGTTATCGTGTTGGAAGAGAATATTGAAAGTGCCATGGACTGTCAAAAGAACCAACAGATCTGTGTTGGAAGAAGTGCAGCCAGAGTGCTCCTTGGAGGTCAGGATGGCCAGACTTCATCTCTCATACTTCGGACATATTGTCAAGAGGGATCAGTCACTGGAGAAGGATATCATGTTTGGTAAGAGGGTCAGAAAAAGAGGAAGACCCCCAACGAGATGGATTGGCAAAGTGGCAGCATCAATGGGCTCAAGCATGGCAACAATTGTGAGGTTGGCCCAGGAGTGGGCAGTGTTTCATTCATAAGGTTGCTATGAGTCGATACTGACTCGATGACACCTAGCAATAACAACAGTTGATACTGGGTGGACCTCTAAATCTGTTGCCCTAATGTAATCTTTAAAATTTAAATCCTCAGCCCAAGCTATCCCCTGAAGTCTTCTTTCAGCATAGTTTAACATCATGTTATCTCATGGATTAATTGTTCCTTGGTTTTAACGTTGTGAATATACATTCTTTTGTATTCTCCATTCTAATGGTTGATTGCTTGTTTCTATGAGAGGACTTCAAACAGTTAATGGAAAAATTCCGTTATCTTTTCATTACATTTTTCGGTGAACTTTTTGAAGCCTCCTAGTATTTAGCCATTCATTCCATAAGCATTCACTCTTCCAGGCAGCAAGCTATGTACTAAGGATGCAGTCCTCTAGTAAACATGATTTTGCTTTCAAGGATCTTAATCTTATAACACTTGTATGTATTACCAGAGTGGCTCCGAATTGAAATTTCTACACTGACAGGATACAACACAAATCACCTAGGATCCTGGAGTGAAATCTTTTCTTGAAAGGTGGCTTGTTCCCTACTGACAGCAGTGCCTCAGAGCATGGTAGAAGGCACCAGGCAACTACAGCGTTGCCTCAGACCCCACTGCTCTCTATTGAAACATTTGTTTTGGTTTGCTTGCTAACTTCTCTGTTTCACGAATTAATATCCTTGTTTTAGGTCAGGATCCCCCTGTCTGTAAAAGGAAGGATAATTTTGGAAACCATCGAAGGGATGTGCTATTTACATGGAGCCGGTGTGATACACAAGGACCTGAAACCGGAGAATATTCTTGTTGATGACGACTTTCATATTAAGGTAGTCTCTGCCTCTACAAGACGGGTTGTTTTTTATTTTCATTACATTTAAATGCATTTCTACTCAAATCCATTTTGTAAGCGGTAAATGATAAAGGAAGACTTAACTCAGCTTACACCTGGTGGTAACAGTCTGGAGGAAACAGTTGCTGGAGAAGGATGTCATGCTGGGTAGGGTGGAGGGTCAGAGAAAAAGAGGAAGACCCCCAATGAGATGGATCAGCCAGGTGGCATCATTGATGGCGTCAAGTGTGGCAGCGGTAGTGAGGTTGGCCCAGGATCGGACATTGTTTCGTTCTGGTGTGCATGGGGCCGCTATGAGTCGGTTCTGACTCGATGGCACCTGACAACAACACCACCACCTGGTGGTAGTGGTGGTGATGCTCAAAGAATCTGTCAAGTTTTAGAAAGAAAAATACAGACTTTCTGGACTTGGGGGGTAACTGTAAGGATACGGTTATTTTATCTTTCTGGGAGAAGTAGCACTGAATGTTTCTTAGATTTATCTCTTTTCCTCCTCTGTTGTTGCTGTTGTTGGTCAGTGCTGTGCAGGGGCTCTTAGTAGGAGCGGCTGATGGGTTTGAACTGTTAGCTTTGTGCTTCAAACCAAGATTGCCATCTAACTCATTATCCCGCAGCACCACACCAGGACTCCTGTTAGAGACTTTGAGATCGAAACATCTAAGGGTTGTCTTGCTCACTCTGGATTGGGTCATCTACCTCATCACTTTCTCCAGGAAACCTGTGTGATTGAGACTTCTCAATGTTAGGGGAGGATAGAGGGTGTGTGTGTGAAAAAATCCTTAGTATTCAAAGATGGTCTGAGATCAGTTGGCTCATTTGCCATTAAAAAAAAAAAAATGCTTTGGAATGTGTCTGCCTTTATATTTTTTTGTTTATTTCTAATCACTTTCCTTTGGAAAAATTTAACTCTTTGTTGTAGTATAGGGAACAAGGAAAGGGGATTTTTCTTTTGTTCAGTTAAGGACAGGAATTAACTAGGGAGCATATCCTATCCCGTTGGGTTTAGCTACACAAATGAGGCTCAAGAATTTGAAAGGGAAGCAGCATTCAAGAAAGACTCTTTTGCGTGGACACCCTTCTCTTCCGGAACATGCTGCTGCTAACTCTTTGTTCCGGTCTAGGAGAGCTTTTTCTCCCTGAATCTTTAAAAAGAGGCTTTTTCTTTACATTAATAACTTTTATGTTCTGGGGTGAATTAAGGTCAAATAGCCCCACTGTGGCATTTGCATAATCACATGCCAGAATTCACCCCCAAATGTTGCTTGAATACACAGAGGCAAAGATGGTACTGTCACCTTTGAGTTCTTCTTACCTGTGTCATTCTGTCTTTCTGCCCTACTACCTCCCTCTGTTTTGTGATAGACCTTGATGTTTCTCTCTCTGCTTTTTTATGTTTTCCTCCTCTTTCCTACCCTGTCTTCTCTTAGGTTCAGACCCTCAGCTCAAAACAAGGAGCTCCAGTCCTTAGCCTCAGCGTGTCTTTGGAATCCATGGAAACTCACATTTGGGAACCTGGACATTGCTTGGGAAAATAGAAAGTGCAGTACCCAGGGACCATCTGCATCCTGCTCCAGGAATAGTTTCATAATATTTGTTGTTGTTGTTAGGTGCCTTCAAGTCAGTACGGACTCATAGCGACCCTGTGCCCATCAGAATGAAACACTGCCTGATCCTGGGCCAACCTCACAATTTTTACCATGCTTGAGCCCATTGTTTTCTTCCTGTATGAAGTTTGGCCATCCTGGCCGCCAAGGAGCACTCTAGCTGCACTTCTTCCAACACAGATCTGTTGGTTCTTTTGGCAGCCCGCAGCACTTTCAATATTCTCCTCCAACACCATAACTCAAAAGCGTCAATTCTTCTACAGTCTTCCTTATTCACGGTCCAGCTTTCACATGCATATGAGGTTATTGAAAATACCAAGGCTTGGGTCAGGCGCACCTTAGCCCTCAAGCTGACGTCTTTGCTCTTCAACAATTTAAAAAGGTCTTGTGCAGCAGATTTGCCTAATGCAATATGTCGTTTGATTTCTTGATGGCTGCTTCTATGACTCTTGATGGTTGATCCAAGAAAAATGAAGTCTTTGACAACGTCTGTCTTTTCGCCATTTATATTGATGTTGTTTATTGGTCCAGTGGTGAGGATTTTTGTTATCTTTACATTGAAATGCAACCCATACCAAATGTTGTGGTCTTTGATCTTCATCAGTAAGTATTTTAAGTTCTCTTTGGTTACACCAAGCAAGATTGTATCATCTGCATAGCACAGATTGTTAATGAGCCTTCCTCCAATCCTGATGCCATGTTTGTTTGTTTTTTCCTTATAATCTAGCTTCTTGGATTATTTGCTCAGCATACAGATTAACTAATTATGCTGTAAGAATACACCTCTGGCGCACACCTGTCCTAATATTAAACCGTTCTGTGTTCCCTTGTTTTGTTCCAATAACTGCCTCTTGGTCTATGTACAGACTCCTCACAAGCACAATTAAGTGTTCCGGAACACTCATTCTCCTCAGTGTTGTCCACAGGTTGTCATGATCCACACAATCGAAAACCTTTGCATAGTCAATAAATCACAGATAAACATCATTCTGATATTCTCTGCTTTCAGCCAAGATCCATCTGACATCCACAGTAATATCCCTTGTGCCATGTCCTCTTCTAAGCTCAGCTTTAGCAAAATTTTACTTGCATGCATTATTAATGATGTCGTCCAATAATTTCCACATTCCTTTGGGTCACCTGTCTTTGGACTGGGCACAAATATGGGTTTCTTCTGGTCAGTTGAACAGGTAGCTATCTTCCAAATTTCTTGACATAGATGAGTGAGTGCCTCCAGTGCCACATCTATTTGTTGGAAGATTTCTATTTTTATTCCATCTATTCCCAGAGACTTGTTCTTTGCCAATGCCTTTAATGCACCTTGGACATCTTCCTTCAGTATTACTGGCTCTTGATCATGTGCTACCTCTTGAAATGGTTGAATAGCGACCATTTCTTTTTGGTACAAGTGACTATGTATTCCTTCCATCTTCTTTTGATGCTTTATGCATCATTCAATAATTTGCCCATTGATGTTGTTGTTGTGTACTGTTGAGTAGGTTCTGACCCATAGTGACTCTGAATAGGGTTTCCAAGGAGCAGCTGGTAAGCTTGAACCGACACTAGCCTTGCAGTTCAAACCAACCTTGCAGTCCAGCGCATTAATCCATAGCGCCACACCAGGACTCCATTTTGCTCATAGACATAGAATCCTTCAGTATTGCAAGTCGACGCTTGAATTTTTTTCAGTCCCCTCAGCTTGAGAAATGCTGAGCATGTTCTTCCCTTTTGGTTTTCTAACTCTAGGTCTTTGCACATTTTGTTAAATATTTGACTTTGTCTTCTCAAGCTGCCTTTTGAAATTTTCTATTCAGCTCTCCTTATTTCTTCCATATGCTGTAGCATCTGTACCCTGGAGAGCAAGTTTCAGAGTCTTTTCTTACATCCATTTTCGTCTTTTCCTTCTTTCTTGTCTTCTTAATGACTTTTTGTTTTCTTCCTGTATGATGTTCTTGATGTCATCCCACAACTCTTCTGGTCTTCTGTCTTTAGTGCCTGATGCATCAAATCTGTTCTTCAGATGGTCTCTGAATTCAGGTGGGATATGTTCAAAGTCATATTTTGTCTCTTGTGGACTTGTTTTAATTTTCTTCAGCTTCAGTCTAAACTTGCATGTGAGCAATTGATGATCTGTTCCTTGTTGGAGCTTTTCCACAGTCTCTTCCCACAGATGTAGTCAGTTTGATGTCTATGTATTCCATCTGGTGAGGTCCTTGTGCATAGTCATCTCTTATGTTGTTTAAAAAAGGTATTTGCAATGAAGGCATCATTGAATTCTATCGTGCAATCTCCAGCATCATTTCTGGCACCAAGGCCATATTTTGCAACTACTGATCCTGCCTCTTTGTTTCCAACTTATGCCTTCACCTCACCATTATCAGTGCATCTTCATTGCATGTTTGATCACTTTCAGACTGAAGAAGTTGGTAGAATTCTTCAATCTCATCATTACTGGTTTTAGTGTTTAGTGCGTAAATTTGAATAATAGTGGTATTAAAATAGTGTAAATGGGAAATTGCAGTTAATATGTTTTATTGTTGTTGTCCATGACAGAAATGTCTTCTGCTTTTTGCCTCCCCTACCCCAGCAAATTTTCTACTCGTATTGTCTAAGAATTAAGGTAACAGAATCTTACGTAGACATTGTGGTGGAGGGAGGGGTCATCTAGATGGCTTAGAAAACACCACAGTCCTATGAGTTTGTAAATGGCAGTCATCTCACATTTAAAACAAAACTAACTTTTTTTAAACCCACTCAGGGCAACATTTTCTGGGAAATTCCCTGTAGCACATGTCTTTTGGATACATCCCCAAATTTAAAGTCCAATTTAATTTGCTTTTAGCCTTCATGGGACAATCCTAATGGTTTGGTCTCTTTTGCAGATAGCTGACCTTGGTGTTGCTTCCTTTAAAACGTGGAGCAAACTGACTAAAGAGGAACATAACCTGCAGAGGAAAATGACCACTCCCTCCAAGAAGAATGGAGGCACCGTCTGCTATATCGCCCCTGAGCATCTGAGTGACGTCAATGCGAAACCCACAGAGAAGTCAGATGTATACAGCTTCGCCATAGTACTCTGGGCAATTTTTGCTAATAAAGAGCCATATGAACGTAAGGCATTTGTAGAGGCGTGGGGTTTGGGTATTAATCATGATCGCTCTGTGTAATAATGGCCTTCATGAATTCAGTTAAGATTTAGAATTTCTGTCTGTCTTACCCTCTATACTGTAAGCGCCATGAGGGTTGGGACTCTGACGTATTCACTGCTGGTTTTCCAGCATCTATGGGCATGACGCTGTGGGATTAAGCACTGGACTTCAAGGTCAGTTTGAACAACAAGGTTAGCGGTTCAAATTCACCAGCCGCTCTTCAGAAACCTTATACAGGGTTGCTATGTGTCGGAACCTACTCACTGTATTTAAACGCAACAAGAAGAACAGCAACACACATAGTGCCTGGAACATAGTACATTTTTGTTGAATGAATGAGTAATGCCAGCTTAGGAATTGGGATTTACAGAAGCCCTCATAGTTCATCTAACTCAAGGAGGTGCTATAAAGATCAAGGATTCTTCCTGGATGGGAAAGCTTGCTGGCTTTGGCTTATGAGAACTCACCCCTCCATACCACAAGGCATAACCTTCACACTTTCATTTATTCACTTGTTCCTTCATTTAAGGTTTTAAATTTTTTTCCGGTACTTACTGTGGGCACTTTGATAGGTATTTTTAATGTAAAGATGAATAAGACATGATTTATGTAGGAGAACGGGTAGATAAATATTGTTGTTAAGTGCCTTGGAGTCAGTTTCAACTCATAGTAACCCTGTGTAGGGTTTCCGAGGCTTTAAATCTTCATAGGAGCAGAAAGTTTCATCTTTCTCCTAGGGAGCTACTGATGGGCTTGAACCGCCAACCTTGTAGTTTGCAGTCCAGTGCTTATTGTTGGAGCCACCAGGCTCCCCACGTCGATAAATAATCATTCCCTAATTTTCTAAGTACCTAAAGTACTGGACATTTTTCTGCACATTTTTCTTAGGTGGTTTTTATCAACTCCAGTGGTTTAATGATAACTCTTTGCTGACAGCTCTCAAATCTCTGTCTCTAGCCCTGGCCTGGATATCCAACTATCAGTAAAAACAGCATTTCTTCCCAAAATTCATCTCCTGAATTTTCCTCCTGTGGTCTGTGCCCCCAGCTCCTCATCTTCTGCTCGGAGAATGGAATCATCACCCACCTATCTAGTTGCTCAGTTGAAAGCTTTAGGGTCATCCCAGACTCAGCCTTCTCTTTCATCTCCAAAGTCTGTCTTAAATCCATCCACCCCTCTCTATCCCCTCTGGCCTCTTTTTAGTTCAAGCCCTCTTTAGTTTTTCATGCTCCTTTTCTGCCTCATTTTATCCTTATCCCATCATTCGCCCTGCAGCCAGAATGACCATCCCAGAATGGCCAGTTCACTCTACTTAAAATCCTTTTAAGTAGACTTCCAGGACCTTCAGAATAACATCCAGACTTCTCAGTATGGAATATAAGACCCTTTATGGTCTAGCCTTCACCAGGATGCCTAGTTTTACGTGTGTAGAAGGGACACATCGTATTTCCTATCATTTTTAATCTTTCATATCCTACTCTCCTACTTTGAAATCCTCCTCGACATTCTTTACCTGGATAAATTTGACTTCAGTTTCTGAACTTAGCACAGCCTTCCTGGCTGTGTTACCCTCTGTATGTCTTTCACAGCAGTGATCATTACGTAATGTAAGTTACTCTCATTCAGTTGAATTCCTTGATGGCAGGGGCTGTAGTGGTTTTGTCTTTGGATTAAAGTCTGGAGTGTGGCATGGGTCTACCCACATATTCTATTTATTCTAAGAGGAGGTAGGTTTGTTACTAATTCTTTCATATGCAGAGATTAAAATGGTGTTTTATTATCTCTACAAAGGGATATGTGAGTTTCTTGTTAAAGGTCCACTCTGCCTCACATCCAGCAGCATGATTTAAATTCCAGCACCTTCTGGCCTGAGAGTGTAGCAGTGCCTGAAAGGAAGCCTCAGCCTATGTTCCTCTTTGCCTTACAGATGCAATCTGTGAGCAGCAGTTAATAATCTGCATTAAATCTGGGAACAGGCCCAGTGTGGACGACATAGTTAAGTACTGCCCGCAGGAGATCATTGACCTCATGAAGCACTGCTGGGAGGCAAACCCAGAAGCTCGGCCAACATTTGCTGGTAAGAATCTCTGGTACGACAGTGGGACGCCTCCGAGGTGCTGGGTTTCCGAGTCACATGTTGTCAAGAACCTGGCTTCAGAAAACAGAGTTCCACTTCACTTGTGGTCTCAAATAGTTCATGCAGTGAAAAGGTGTCATTCCCTCCTAAAACCTTGACGGCTGGACACATGGGCATTTTTCTAGACAATAATCTTTGATGGCCCCCTGGCTTTTCACCTTCTTTCATTTCCTTTCCTTCTCTTTGTGATCTGGCATCTCCGTCAATTGGACCTGTGGTAGAAGGTCCACAACCATGTACTTCTGCCCCATTTCCACATGTGTTACCTAGGACCTTGGGGGCCGTAGGGGGCTGGGGGAGGGGCGGCGGTGCAGAGGAAAGAAGAAGAAAATCAGGAAGTTATAGGAAGGCACTGGACTGCCATGTGTCTGCTCTGAGAAAACAGAACTCAAGCTCCCAAGAATTCCCGGGGTATCTGTTTTCTTAGGCACTCTGCCTTAATCTCTTGCCGCTTCCTTCTCTTTTCTAATTCCCTTTCCATCTTTTTAATTAAGCTTTATCTTTTGAGATAGAGATTCACATGCCCTTGTAAGAGATCATGTCAGGAGATCCTACTGACTCTTTCTGCCGTTTTCCTCAATGTTGACATCTTATAAAACTGTGGCAGATATCACAACCAGGGTGTTGGCATTAACGCAGTCATGTACAGAAGAGTTCCATCTCAGCGAGGACCGCTCATGTTGCCCTTTTATAGCTACACCTACCTCCTTCTCCTCACCCCTTCTAACTCCCAGCACTTGCCAGTCTGTTCTGCATCTCTGTAGTTTTTGTCATTTTGGGGGTGTTATATGAATGGATTCATATAGTATGTAACTCTTGTGGATTGTTTTTGTTTCCACTCAGCAGAATTCTCTGGGGATTGATGTAGGTTCTTGTGTATAGCCACAGTTTTTTCCGTGACATGGAAATACCATAGTGTGTTTAATCATTCATACATTGAAGGGCATCTTAGTTTCTAGGTTTGGGCTATTAGACATAAAGCTACTCTAAATATTCATGTATAGTTTCTGTGTGGATGTAAGTCTTCATTTCTTTGAGAAAATTGTACAGTAACTATGTTGTAGGACAGATGTGTGTACCATTGTTGTTTTGTTTTTAATTACCGGACTACCTCCCAGATGACAGGACCAGTCGCATTTCCCCTGTACGTCCGTGAGGGGGTTGGGGGATGGGGTATCGTTTTCTCTGCACACTTGCCCGTAGTTGATATTGTCATAACTCCTTTTATTTTAGCTCTTCTGTCAGGAAGATACCCTTGTGGTTTTAATTCTCCTTTAATTGCTGATGATGTTGAATATATTTTCATGTGCCTATTTTACCTACTTTGGTCAAAGTGGCAGTTTGAGCGTCCTTAACAAAATTCAAATTGTGTTCCTTTCAAGCGTTCTTCAAGTTTGGAGAACAGAAAGAAGTCTGAAGGGGCAAAATCATGGCTGTCGGGTGGAAGACTGAGGATAAGTTTCCTCACTGATGAGGAAAACGTTGTGAAAGTTGTGCAGAGGGTTTTTTTCCCACCATACTGCAACTGCTCATTCTTCAAGGGCAGCAAGCATCATCCTATGAGAATTTCACTGGGGAACTTTACCCCATCCACCCCTTAACCCCTTTGATACCTGCACGATGGGGGGAGGGGGCTGCTCTCTACTACTGACTGAGGGTGGCAGTGACCTCATTTCTGCTGACCTTTCAAAGGCTAAAGTGCAGACTCTCCAGCGAAGAGGGGAAGGAGTACCTCAGTACAACTAGATGGGGCGTTTAAAACCAGGCTGCCCTTATGGTTAATGCTGACCCCACGCGGATGGAAAAGTTCGTTATCAGCTTACAGAGATCTGCAAGTCTCGGCTCTGTCTTCTGTCTTCTGTGACATCTGCCCAGTGGGGGTATGGAGGGGCACCTCATTATTGCCATATGAGGTTGGAATCCTAGGCTCTCACTGTCATTGCTGGTGTGACTGGGCAGTCAGTTCACAGTTTCGTCTGAGATGCTTGGCTGAAGTAGAGTGTTTATTGGCTGAAGGTATTCTGTCTTGATAGGCTGCCACTTGTTGAGTCCTTTGGATAGGGGAAAAAAGCTATTGTTGGGGCTTTTTGTTTTGTTTTGTTTTTGTCTGTGCCTATTTGTGTTTCTTTATACCTGGTGTGGCACTGTAGGATAAGCACTGGACTGCTAACCAAAAGGTCAGTGGTTAAAACCCACTAGTGACTCCTCGGAAACCCTAAACAGGGTCGTTGTGAATCGTAATCAACTCGATAGCACTTAACAACAACACATTTGTGTTCTTGGGTTTACGTTTCTTCAGCTCCAAGTCTGGAATACATGAAGCAAAAAGAAAATAAAAAGAGCTTTCTGCTCAGTTTTTCCTCAGGCCCCAGGGTCCCTGGCTGTTCTGCCTTCTCCTCTCCACCTTTCAGAGCTTTCTTATTTTGTTTAATATATGATATCAAGGGCTTTGGTTATGATTATTGTGAGAAAGATTTACTGCGTCTTATTAGAAGTAGTTATTTTTGTTTAATATATGATATCAAGGGTTTTGGTTATGATTAGTGTGAGAAATATTTACTCCATCTTATTAGAAGTAGAAGCCACCTTTTTCTTTAAATGCTGAGAGCTCTCTTTACATCGAATCCTTATTCTGAGTATCCCATCTTATCATAAATCAAATTTACTTATCGTTCTTCGTGTGGATACTAACTCACATTGGAGTCCTGAACCAGTTGGCTCTGGACCACAGCCAGAGGAACCAGCCGTGCGCTATTTGGGAAGCTCTTTGGGCTTCCAGTGTCTTCCTATCACTTGTCCTTCTATCTGCTGTGTCTGTAGCCTATCTCAGAGCCAGTGACTTAGAGCTGAAATTTTTGTGTGACTTCTTTCCCCACAGATTAAGCTAAGACACTCATAAACAATGGCTTACTAATAGTTTAATTTTGCTGTAGGAAACACTAAAAGAACTGTTTTTTTTTTCCCATGTAGGCATTGAAGAAGATTTTAAGTCTTTTTATTTAAAAGAATTAGAAGAAAACGTAGAAGAAGATGTGAAAAGTTTAAAGGTATGTAATATAGCAGATGATAAAAATATTAGCATATATGGTATGTGATCAATCATGAAAACAAAGCATCAAAATTCTATTGAGTTTGAAGGTAAAGTAACATTTTAATTTAGTTTTCAAGTTGGCATTCTTGACTCTTTCCACCATTAAAAATAAATTGTTGTCAAGTGCCGTCCAGACGGTTCTGACTCAGCCACCCTGTGTAGGGTTTCTAAGGAGTGGCTAATGGATTTGAACTACTGACTGTGCAGGTAGCACTCTAGTGCTTATCCTACAGTTTCGCCCCAGGACTCCAAAAGCACACATAGAAATATGAAAACAAAAGAACAATATCATAGGACAAGAATGGAGCATATTAAAAGTAGATCGATCATTTTGGGGGAGATTTTTGAAAGACAAAGCCAACGAAATTATATCTGCTTCAATATCACAGAAAGGAGAAAAAAAAGTTAGCACAAAACATAATGCTGAGGACGAGATAAGTAGCTAGAAGAGCAAGTCTTGGTACAACATATAGAAGAAACAGTATAGGTACCTGGCATGAGAGTAGGGAGAGCCATGTGGGAATCACATTATGCCAGCTAGAAAGCCCAACGTTCTAGGCTGAGCAGCAGATGACATCAGCATCTGTTTGGGGGTGGAGCCATGAGCTTTACACGTGACATATTCAAACATTAACCGTGTAATGGGAAGTAAAATGTCTCAACCAGTTCAAAAGGAAAAACAAATCACCAACTTTGTATGGGAAAAGAGACCCCAGCTAAGCAAAGCACTACTAAAGAAAAAGAAAAAAGTCAGAGCCCTTAGATTTCCTGATCTCAAAACCTACTACACAACCACAGTAGTCTAAACAGAAGTAAATTCATCCACCTCTGAACAGCTGATCTTTGACAAAGGGTCCAAACCCATTAAATAGAGGAGGGATAGTTTCTTTAACAAATGATGCTGGCAACACTGGATATGCAAAAACATGAAACAGGACCAATATCTCATACCATAAACAATATCGAAGTTTAGATGGATTGACGACTTAAATGTCAAACCTAAAACTACAAAGACCATCAAAGAAAAAGTAGGGACAAACTTAACAGCCCTAATACATGTCATAAATACACTATCAAACATAACTGAAAAATGCACAAACAGCAAAAGATGGACTTGAGGGAGACTCGTATTAACTTGGATGAAGGGAAAGCAATATACATTAAGGGGAGGTTGGAAAATAAAATGAGGAAGACACTAACGGGAACACAAGAACTAAAGACCACCGAGGTAAATACTGTTGCTTATTCAGTGCTGCAAAAGGGGTAATGCGTCAGGCTGCAAAGTCGTTTGAACCGCAAGGTTGGTGGTTCAAGGTCACCAGCTGTCCCTTGGAAACCCTATACAGGATCTCTATGGGTTGGAATTGACTCGACAGCATTTAAGAACAACAGCAACGAGTGGATACGTAGAACTCAAGCTTAACTGATGTGGGAAGGCGGATGGGATATAGGTCTGACATAGGACATTTCTATGCACATATGTTCATGAATATTGTAGAGCTTTCAGAGGGCAAAGATAACCAAACGTCTTGAGGAAATGAGTCGGTGGGCATGGGGACTCAGGACCGTAGTCTCGGGGGACACGAAGGTCAGTTGACACCGCATAGTCCACAAAGACAGAGTTCTCCATCCTACTTAGGTGAGTGATGACTGAAGTCTTCAAAGTTTATGAGTGGGCATTGAAGGTGCAGCTATTGGTCTCTCCCTGTTGGAGCAAAGAAGAGTGAAGACCATCAAAGATGCATGGAAACAATTAGACCCAAGAACTAATGGACCACCATCCTGAGACCAGAACTAGATGGTGCCACCTGAAAGGGATAATAATAGGATGTCCTGGATAGTGTGGGATAAAATATGGAACAACACTGAAAATCATAAAACAGACTGGGCTTATCAGTCTGCTAGCCTGGTGGAACCCCGAGACTCTGGCTCTTAGTTACCTTTCAGGCCTGGGATGGAACTCAGCCTCATGGCTCCATTTCCAGGCAAATGATTGGCAGGTCTAAGTGGTGAATCAGAACAATAAGAAGGCATGTACTTCTTAGAAAAATTATCATTGGAGATCCAAAGGGCAGTACTGGCCCTAGGATAAAGTTCAGAAGGCAGAAAGGGCTAGGAAAGAAGGAGGAATGGAATTGAAACAGGACAGGGAAGAAATGCTACATTGTGTGGATTGCAGTCAACTGTGTGAAACAAAATATGTATGAACCACCCAATGGGAAATTGATTTGCTCTGTATATCTTCATCCAAATCACAGTTAAAAAAAAAAAAAAAAA